CTTTCCCTGCCTGGCTGTGTCAGTGCCTCTGGAGCAGCTGGGTTTGAATTTAACCTTTAAACGGAGAAGGCCTCTTGCAGGGGCCCGCTGAGCAATCTGTCCAGCCATCCCAAGACCTGTGTGGTCTACGATGCCGTACCAATGGTGAGACTTTTTTTCTCCATAGGCATCACATCCTACGGTGTCCCTCGCAGTGAGAAGGAAATCATGGCTGAGATCTACAAGAATGGCCCAGTGGAAGGAGCCTTTATTGTCTACGAGGACTTCCTGATGTACAAGTCTGGTGAGCATCAGCACCAAGGCTGTAGGGAGCCCTGTTCCCTACTTCATCCATAGGGTGTGTCTTTTGTGGCCCTTGTCCTTCTACTCAAGTCTGAAAGGAGATCTCGAGTTCACACTTGAGTAATGTGGTGTTGCAAGAACATGGGCAGATACCATCTCCTGTGTCCATTGGTTTATAGCAAGGGGAAGAGATGCTTGGGACTGGCTCAGGGAGGAAGCCCCAGTGGGGACCTCTCAGAATTGCAGTTGAGAACAACAGCTAGGATTTTAGGTAAAATCCTGGCAGATGGCTCTCCTGGTGTGGCCCCAATTCCCTGTTCTGAACTGCTTGGGATGTGCTGCCTTTGGGCCCCTTGCTGAGCGTCTCTGGGTGTCCTCCGTGCTGAGCTGACGCTTAGCATCAGGCCTTCCTCCAGACTCTCCATTAAGCTTCAGGTTTCCATTTAACCAAAAAACCTTCTCAGGTGGTCTCTGGGCTTTGATACCGAATGTCTCACAAGCTGGCAGTGGTCTGAAGCTGGGGGGGAGATGGACGCCCGTTGATGTGTTGGCTTGTTGCCTTGCAGGGGTCTACCAGCACGTGTCCGGCGAGCAGGTTGGAGGCCACGCGATCCGGATCCTGGGCTGGGGGGTGGACAACGGCACTCCATACTGGCTGGCCGCCAACTCCTGGAACACCGACTGGGGGGACAACGGTGAGGCCACCCCTGGATGCTGCCTCTGGGCGGGGGGCTGGCGGAGGGAACCCTCTCCCCGCTCTCCTTGGCGCGGCAGGGAGGTTGACTTTTGCTTTTGGTGTGATTCCAGGCTTCTTCAAAATCCTCCGAGGAGAGGACCACTGCGGCATCGAGTCCGAGATTGTGGCCGGCATCCCCAGGCCTGAGCAGTACTGGAAGAGGCTGTAACCTTCTTGATCAAACCGCAAATAATCCTGAGTCCCTGATGCTTTTAACTGATAGTGGGTTGGGTGCAGAGCCCCCCCCAAGAGACTATAGTTGAAGTTACTTTATTAAAGCTTTTTATCTTTTTTTTTTTTGGTTTTTTTTTTAATTGTATGATGGAGCTGGAGGCAAAACTGCTCTCTGCAAGCCCTCTGCTCTGGTGGGTCACAGCTATGGGGCATTCCCTGCTCAAAGGACTGCTGGAGGGCTCGCTGGCCTCTTGCGCCATGGTATTTGGTTAGCCTGCACCCCTTCCAGTCCAGTCTGTTACTGGGAGAGTAGGAAGCAGTAGCTTTGTGCTGGGACTAGGGACTTGGTGGGGTAGTGGAGATGGATCCTGCTGGGAAGCCACATCCAGGGGTGGTTTGCGCACTCCTGGCTGGGTTGGTCTGACTTAGGACGCAAAACAAGCAGGGTACGTTAGCGTGTGCCTTGAATTGGCTAAACTCAGATCTATTAATGACACAATACTGATGAACCTGACGCGGGGCTGGCTCTGGCCTGAGCTGTGCTAAGGCCCCTCCTGCCTGCAACAAGTCCTTTGCACAGCGCTTGCTCTGCTCCATCCTTTCGGCTGCTTTTTAAACCACTTGTTCCTCAGCTGTTTATTTGGTTGTTTTTTTATCCTGCTGTAGTCTGGGGTTATTGATCCTAGGGAAGGGCCTGGCTGGAGCCTCAGGAGCCTTTGATCAAATGTCCTGCAAGCATCTAGGAGCAGGCTGGAAAGAGCAAAGCACTTGTCATCCATGGCTGGGCAGCTTGGTGCGTGCAGCGGGCCGTGCCGTGGCAAGGGTGCTGCATCCAGGATTGGCGTGGGGCTTTGGGACTGCAGGTGCTGAATGCTGAGCGGAGATGAGGGCTGTTCCCCGGGGTCTGCTGCAGGGAGCTCATGCAGGTGCTTGGAGATATCTTGCTAACTTGCACAGAATTGAAGCTTTGCTTTTTTTTTTTTTTTTTTTTTTTTTTTTTTTTTTTTTTTTTTTTTTTTTTTTTTTTTTTTAGTTTTAAAGCACAAAATATATTGCTGAGCTGAGGCTACAGGCCTGAAATGTGTGAAGCAGGCTCTCCCTTGCACTGTAAAATAGCCCCTTACCTCTGCTTACTCAGACACCGGTGCGACAGAGCTGTGGTATATCTGAACGGAATGACTGTGCCAATAAATGATTTCTCCAATGTCTCGTCTCCTGGCCCTTGGTTGCTTCTCCTCAAAACTATTCTCCTGTTGCTCTGTGCACTGTGGAAGCCAGGTGAGGCCCTTCTGTCTCCATGCAAGTGTGGTCAGTCCCAGCCCTGTCCTCTGGCCGTACTGGTGACAGCGTGATTTGTGTTGACTCCCGAGGAGCCCCTGGGCATCGCCTGCTCCTGGTGATGGGGAAGGTGCTTCAACAACCCCAGGCAACACTACAGGCTGGGAGAGGAGTGGCTGGAGAGCTGCATGGTGGAAAAGGACCTGGGCGTGTTGGTTGACAGTCGCTCTGGTGGCCAAGAGGGCCAATGGCATCCTGGCTTGTGTCAGGAATGGTGTGGCCAGCAGGAGCAGGGCAGGGATCGTCCCCCTGTGCTGGGCACTGGGGAGGCCGCCCCTCGAATGCTGTGCTCAGCGCTGGGCCCCTCACCCCAAGGCGGCCATGGATCTCTGCAACTGCCTGAAAGGTGGCTGGAGCCGGGGGGGGTCGGTCTCTTCTGCCCAGGAACAAGCGATGGGACGAGAGGGAACGGCCTCAAGCTGCGCCAGGGCAGGGTTAGGTTGGGTATTAGGAAAAATTTCTTCATGGAGAGAGAGGACAGGCCCTGGAACAGACTGCCCAGGAAAGCGGTGCGATCACAGTCCCTGCAAGTATTCAAAAAATGTGTGGATGTGGTGCTTAGGGACATGGTTTAGAGGTAGACCAGGCCGTTAGGTTAATGGTTGGACTTTGATCTCAGAGGTCCTTTCCAACCTTAGTGATTCTATGATTCTAACATGGACCAGAGTGCAGCCAGGGCTGCCCCCAGCACGTCTGCACGGAGGGTGCAGGGGAGCACGGATGCACCAAGGCACAGGTGAGCACGCCTGCAGCCCAAGGCTGTGCCACCACGCCTGCTGCCTGCACTGCAAGGTCCATGAAAAGTTAATTTACTGACCTTTAGCTGTCTCTCCCCCTGGTTAAAGTTCTTCCTTCGGGTCTGGCACACAAGGCTTTACAGTGATGCCCTGAGTGGCAGCAAGGAACCATCTGCATTTATCTGAGCTGAGGGTTTAGAACTTGTGACATGGTGGGGAATTACCGGTGTAAAAGAAATGACAGCTAAAAAAAAAAAAAACACCACTTTTTTTCCCCCCCCAGAGAAAACTTTAATTTCAACAAGACAGGAAGCTGCACAAAGAGAGCTACCGCAAGTTTCTTTTGAACAACAGCTTAAAACTATCTACATCAGTACTTGTGGAGTCAGGGTCCTCCTTCTGAGTAACAGTCTGGCCGCAGGGACTTGGCCTTGCAAAGGCCACTGAACCACATGTGGTAGACAGCTCTGGCCTGTAGCAGGACAGGGGCTGTCCTTCCCTTCACAAAGGTAAAGCAGCATTTGGAGGGGGTGGGTAGGGACTCTGAAAACAAAAACCCACCCCAGGAAAACAGGGCTTGCCTTTAAAGCATTGTTTCCTCTTGAAGTAAGTCCAGCCCCATGTGTTTCAAAACAGCAGTGGAAGCCTCTTCCAGTTTTCACGTCAGTTTAACCCAAGGCATCATCCCAAGCTGGAGCCAAGTGGGCCAGGGAAACCTGCCCTGGTCCCCCCCTCGGTGGCTCAAGCCTCCCCAGCCCATGGCAGGGAGCACTGCTGCCTTTCAGGGTGGCCAATGCACCAGGGCCCCCCAAAAAGCATCCCACGAGGGACAGCACGGTGCCAACCCTCACTCCCCTGCCTTGCAGGGGCACCTGGAGCTGCTGTGGCGGTGCTGCTCTGCCATGGCCACCCCATCCCCTTGGGCTGCAGAAGGGGTTCAGAGCCCGCAGTGCAGTCAGGCGTGAGGTTATTAGCTCAGGGCCGTGCAAGCAGCTCCCATCTCCTCCATTTCACCACCTCCCCAGCTGCTAAAACATGAAGCTTTTCAAGTGCAGGGTGCCATCTGCTACAGGGCAGGGAGCTGCAATAGGTGACTTTCAGCTGGGGACGCATTAAAGTGGACAGAGCATTCCCACCTCCTATGTATTTAACATTAAAAGGGCTTGTTTCAAGCCTAGTAGCCTCCTCCAGCACAACAAGAGAAATGTGAAGATTGCCTCTGCCTGCTTCCAGGCTGCAGGATGTCAACCAGCCTGGGCTGAGGGCCAGAAGGTGGCCGGAGCTTTTTCCCTGGATAAGGAAGCGTATTCCTCTCCCGGCTGAAGCAGCGTCCTTCCAGTGTGGAGCAGGCACCAGAAGCGATGGGGAAGAGGCTGCCTAAGAAAGGGAAGTAAAACCCAGAAGGCTTTGGCCAGCTCTGAGCTGAAAAGGTGTCTCAAATCTCAAGTGAGAAAAGAGGCAACTGGAGTTTCTATTTAAAACCATCCTAACCAAAAAAAAAAAAAAAAAATTCAGGTAAACTGTCTAACAGGAAAGAAGGGAAAAAAAAATATTCAACCCCAAACAGTAAGACTCCGATTAGCGTTTGTAACCATCCAAGCAGATGGCAAGGGCGGTGAGGAGCGGAGTCCGGCAACGCCGCACCATCGCCCCGGGGCTGCAGCTCACTGGCGTCCCGTCCTCGTCACCGTCCCAGGCCCTGTGGCACCCCGCTGCCTGGCCGTCCCCACCGGCAGGGGACAAGGAGCCTCCTGCCTCCTCTGCCCATCCGTCGACCATCTCTCCCCCCGCCCGCCTGCTGCCCATCAGTTCTCGCCCGCCTGGACGTACTCCTCAGTGGCCTTGGAGATGGTGCTCAGGTACTGCCAGCTCAGGGCGGCCAGGAGCATCGCGCACGACAGGTAGATGGGGGAGTAGTGGTGGCGTGATGCCATGGAGCCGCCAGGCAAGCTCATGGCGCGGATGGAGGAGATGACCTGCTGCGTCTTGTTGGATGATGGGTCTGTGCTTGGGATCTTCTGGTAGATCTGGGGAGAGAGGAAGCAGGAGTTACGAGTCCCACCCAACGTTGAGGAGACAAATGGGGCCACCGGGTGGAAGAGGATGCCTTAAGGGCCACCGTATCAAGAGCAACCTCAGTGGTGGACTGCCATGGAGCAAGGACCAGCTGCAAGGGATGCCTGGATGCCAGGGCCATTTCCCTTGAGAAGTGCACTAAGCCAAGCAGCCTCTTGAGGGCACCCCATGACGGGAGATGGACCACACAGACTCAGACAATCCCTCAACCACAAGTGGTGTTGCTGGCACCAGCGGTTCTTGCCCTGCAGTCCTTGCTGTGCTGCGGCCCACCTCAAACCAACGAGGACACCCCAGTGTGACCAGCAGCCGGTCTGACTGCCAGGAAATGGGCACCTCCATCAGATAGCCCCATGGTCTTTTGGGTTTTCTCTTCATGGTCTTCAAAACCCATGGCCTTTGAGAGATTTGTCTGCATGAGTCTTAGGGAGGCGTGCACAAGCAGAGAGCCTCTTCTGGGCTGAGGTGTGACTGTCCCTTGCCATGGCACTGGCCAGCCCACAAAGGAAGCTCTAATAACCTGGTCTCCCTGGTGCAGAAGTAATGTCTTTTTATTTAACAGCCCTCACTGGATTTGGTTTTTGGGGTTAGTTTTTTTTTTTTTTCCCATGAAACCATCCACCAGTTGTTCCTCCACATGAACTTTTAGCCTCCCCAGTACCCTGAAGTCAGGAGTCCCACTGCTTTAACCACCTGTGAAGAGCTGCCTTTATTAACTGTTGGCCACAGAGCACAAAGAAACAACCACCACATCATGCTGGCAGCTGCAACTACAGATGCAGAGAAAAGAAGACTGCTTGCTGGAGCAGCCCATGGGGAGATGATGCAACCTGTTCAGAAGTGTGTTGTGGGAAAGGTTCCCTGTGCCTGCTCAGCCCAGGTGAAGCCCTGCACCATGACAGCTGACTCCTCTGGTTCTCCACCAGAAGGACGGCAGGACTTCAGTCTCTACCTCTCAACAGAGGCACAGACCAAGGCTACGTTCAAGGGAACACATCAAGCACCCGGGTTGGTCCAAGCCAAAACCGTGTCAGGGTCACCCATGCCCTGGCACCACCGAACTGACTATGAGACATAAGGAAAGGATTAACAGATTCATGTCTTCCCAATTCCACACCGGGAACGAGGATGGGACCAGCTAGAAATTACTCAAAGCAAGCTGCTCAACCTACCTCTTCCACATACTGGTACATGATGGCTTTGACAGCTTGTATGTTTGTGGCATCCATCATTAGAGTGACGGCTTGTCCCTTCCGGATCTTCACAACACCCCTGAATACCTGCTTGTTGTTATAGCAGGCAGCCAACGTGGCAATAGCCATCACCTAAGGAGAAACACCAGGAGCCCTTACTGCATTGCGAGGAGCTTGCCAAGGGAGTAACCTTGGCTCTAGTGAAATCGATGGCAAAACACTCTGGAGTGGAGCCACAATCTCACCAACAGCAGAAACAGTAGGTATCATGAAAGAAGGAAGAGACAGAAGAGATGGAGAATAAAACAGGCTAATATTGACACAATACATAACCTCCTCCTTCACCCAACTTCTCATCAGCTGGGCTGCAGACGATGAAGAACCACTTGAAAACATAACTCACCTGGGGAATAGCGCAGAAGTTGAAGACACTTTGGTTTTTCAGGCGGGATAAGTATGTGAGGACATCAGGGACATGGTGGAGGGCGTTGGTGATGAGCTCATTCAGACACTGGACAGCCATATCGATGTTCTCTGGTTTGGCAAGATCCGAGAGCTTCTTTGCGTATCTGCTCCAAACCTAAACACCAAGATAAGGATTCACAAGTTGGAGGGTACATTCATGCCGTAAGAGACATCGATAACAGTCTGAGGTCTGGGAGAGCAACAAGAACCACCAGAGACCCACAAAAGCCTTGAAGGTTTGGGGCTTGCTAGGCTAAAGAAAAGAAGGAAGGGCAGGCTCCAGAGACATGACAGTGGCCTTCATATATACAAACGGACTGTAGAGAAGAAGGATGCAACTCATCTCCACATCTTCTGTAGGCAAGGCAAGGAAAAGACGCCTAACACGCCAGGCTGACATCAAGAAATGTTCTATGAAACAGGTCAGCCACATGGAGAGGGAGAGAAAAATTCTTGGAAGGCTTCAAGAACAGTGGGCAAGCATCTGTCAGACACAGGCAGAGCTGATCCTGCCTTTGGGAATAGACTAAGTAACCCCTCAAGATCTCACCCAGTTTTATCCTCCCTCATTCCTAGAACCAGTGTAACAGAGAGGGGGGAAAAAGCTGCCCAACAAGTTCTTTCTCGGCAGTGTGGGGAGACATCACCTCGTCCCCAGAGAGCTGTAGATAGATGCGGAACCGAGCTATCACTAGAAGAACTGTTATTACCAAGGAGATGTACAACAGTAACGATCGCATGCAGCAGAACTTTACTGTAGGGTCTTCAAACAATTAAAGCAGACCGTCAAGGCTCTCCTGTTAACTTCGATTTAAAGGGACATGAGAGACACTACAATTTTAGCTGTGCACCTTCTGCTATGCATCCTGTAATATTCCTGAGACAGGTGTCCTGGGAAGCACAGCTGGTTGGCTCCATCCATTACAGGTCTTGGACAGAAGTTTGAAAGACTGTCAAGGGACACCAAAAAACAGTGGGAAAAACCCTGACATTGTGGATTTCGAAGGAAATTCCAGCAGGAACCCTTCTAACGAAAGGATGCAACTCACTGTATCAGAGCAGCAACAACACCTTCAGTCTTAGTGCGCTTCCCAATGAGGCACAGCAGAAAGGCTTGCCCCAGGGTGGTGTTTTCCCTCACCTCTCTGGGCCAGAACTCCCTTCCCTCCAGCTGGTCCTCCAAATAATCACGGATGATGTTGGTTTTCTGCAGGAAGAGGCCCATGGAGTTCGCCAGCTCCGTGTCTTGCCCAACAATAGGATCTTCTAGCTCTGATGCAGAGAAGAGACGGGAAAGGCCGATCCCCACCAGCCCAGCAACATAGTGACAATACTGCAAGGCACCGACAGGGGAAGGGGCAGAAAAAACAAGATAAAAGGAGCAGTTATAAAGAGCTGCCTATTTGCCGCAATGAGTTTTACAAAAATGATGCTCAGAAGTAACTGACTGTACATTTTCTGCACATTCTCACGGCTCTCCCTGGGATGTCTCAGCTTTCCCATGCCCAGCAAACACCTCACCAAGGATGTCCCACCAAGGTGCCGCTCTGCCTCCAGCAGCCGAAAGAACCACCCACAGGGAAACAGCTGATGTGATGGGTCACCCAAAACGTGCTGGTGGGCAACACCAACAATCCACGCCATCCTCCTGTTACCCACAGGATCAGCAGTCTCTCAAAGCCTTCCCAAGCCCACACAGCCTCCCTCATCCAGCTGAACCCTCTTTCCACAGGGATGCTCTGTCTCCTCTTTCCACAGAGACAAGGTGGACTCTACTCACGTTCAGTCCACTGCTCTGTCCGGGCTGACTTACCTTATCCCACTCATGCTGAGAGTCCACCTTCTTCTCCAAGAACTCCGCCATCCCGACGCCCATCTTGTGGCAGATGTCTGAAATCACGTCCTGGTAGACCTTTGACAGGTTCCTGAACTCCATGGAGATCTGCAGCACAATCCACCATGAGGGGAAAAAAAAAAAGACAGCGTCAGGAAAAAATAGCAGAGCTCAACATTTTTTAAGAAATCAGAAAAAGACTGTTTACCAGGCTCTTATCCCGCCCTGGCTGGAGATCTAGGACAACTCCCACGACCAGAGTTGTTTCAAGGCCCTTAAAGCCCAGGCTCAGTCTGTTCTCAGTCTAAACGGTATGGCCTCTGGCGGTAGATCAGACAGCAATATCTTTGGGAAGGCTCTGTGGCCTTGGACTGGTATCATCTGGGAGTTGCAGGACAAAACTAGCTACACTTGGTGCACAGAGTTGTTTTTTTGTAATTTGTGAGAGCACTCCATCACGCCAACCGCGGGAAAAGACAGGGGAGGTTTCTGGTGCTCTGTTCTCCTGAGCCCTCTCCGCAGGGCACATTTTGCACAACTGGAAAGGCATTATTCAACAGAGAAAGCGTGAAATCCTTCTTCTGCATGTCTAATAACATGATTCACTGACTCAATTGCTCTCACACTGAAAAAAATTTAAAAAATGCATCCTCCCCTTCCCAAACTGTGGAGCATCATGTTTTGTTGTGCTGAGCTTTATTCTCCATCAGTGGGTAACTTACAGCCAGCCTAGGGTGTGTGTCCGATAAGGACAGCGGTCTGAACAATTACAGCTCAGACACCACCGCAGATCCAGGCTCTCCTCCTGACTCTATCCATGGCTGCGTCTGTCTAAAATAAGCGTATCGACTCTGCTTCTGTCTCAACGGCTTCAATTCACCACACAGAGAAGCACGACCTGTGGGTACACCTCTACCAAATATTATTAAAATCATACCTGAATACGAACTCGGCTTGCCCAAGTGCATAACACGTACACACCGAGAGAGAACAACAAAGTACCGTAAACACCTTCTCAAAAGCTTTTCTAAAGCACCAAGCCATTGGCATACCTACCACATCTCTATTGCAATACATCAAGAATCCCCTGACGCAGCCATGTCCTATAGTGCACACCCCTCCCAGATAGGGCACAGCCACTGTTATCCCAAGGCTTAGCATCAAAATTTACAATACCCCTCAGTTTTCCACACAATTATCCCATTCCCACTGCTAGGGAAAGTCTGATAAGGGCAGAATAAATTTAAAATGGTAAAAAGCTGAACAAAACAGAACTTCCTCAGGAAATGAAATGCTTCTCATTATAACTATTATACTTTTTCTTAAACAGAGCTTAAAGAAACCCTAATAACAAACCCAGCTATTCTTGATCAATGGGAGCAACAGCAAAACTGCAGCATCCACCAAGGGCCGGTCCTTGTGCCCTCACCAAAACCAGACGTCTGTATCCCCACTTAGCGGAGCTCAGCCTCGCCTTCCAGCCACAGCATCTCCTGCTGTCAGCTTGATGGATCCCCTCTAGGACGACCGGCCAGATGGCCTCCCCTTCAGCGCTGGGAGATGCTGCATCTCAGCGCGGCAAAGCTCCATCATCCCATTGCTTCTGCTGGGGCTAAAACTTGGCAGGAGCCCAGGACAAGCATCATGGTTTCAGCTCTGCTGCCTGCCATCCTGAGTGCCTACAGCACAGAGTCAAGGCCCTACAGCTACATCTGCACCAGTAACTTAAATATCGAGCGTGGACTCAATCACCTGCACAGCTACCCCATTAGCGTGGCCTCCAATGTGCTCCTGACCCCAAGCAATCCCCAGGCAGAGCCTGGGAAGTAGTGTGGGCCAGGAAACACTTCCTACAGACAGTCTGGGATGCAACCATGCTGTTCTGGATGCTGAGTTTAACAGCTTGGACATGGACAGACTTTTCCAACTGGCCTCCAGGTCAGAAAACAGGCTCCAATACTGTTTAGCTTGCTAGTGGAGATGCAGACTCTCTGGGGCTTCCTTTTAGAAGGATCCTTAGAGCAGTTAAGACTTTGGGAAATATTGTTATTAACTGTGAGGATGCTTTTTATCTTATATACATGTCAAAGATCTGCAGACAGACTCCTGTAGCTCTAGAGTAGATCCTGTAGGACTGCTGCAAACACTGGTCCATCCACAAGCCAGATGCCAGACAAGCTTTCTTCTTCTCCCTATCTGTTAGGGGCCATGGGACACTCAACCAACGCACAGCGTTGGTCAACAAATCCAAACTGCTCTCCACAACACAACAGTCATTTACTCTCCCAATGCGGGAGGCAAAAAGCCATTTTATAGAGCTGGCACTTCTCTACAGCCAGGTTATCTCTGGCTCACACAGAGAACTGCACAACATTTGGGTTTCTCACTCCAGCTCTGCCCACGTGCACATGATGCAGCTCTTCCTGAACAAGCTCAGGTGTAACATGGCGAGGCAACTGTGCACACAAAGGTGACACAAAGGAGCTGAAGCAAGGAGGTGGACATCTTACCGTTGGGAAGTCCTCGAGCACCTGCCGGTCCTTCTCCTTGCTCTCCATGTATTTCCACTCTGGTTGATAGAGATAGGAGTGAAATTCGTGCAGCATTGGGACCTTTACATCTAAGCTGATGGTCATGTCATCCTCTACAGTATCCAGGGCACGAAGAACTAGGTAGAATATACAGACGGCATGTCTAGGGGGGGGAGAAAAAAAAGCCAATCGTCCTTTACTTAGGATGACCTAATAGGCAGGACAAACAGTTAGATTAACCACACAGCCTTCGGCAGTGTTCCAGCTCAACACAACACACACCAGCACCACCACGTCATTGATGCCTTGGAAGATACAAGCACTTCCAGCACAATTCGCTTTCACATTTCAAGTGATATGGTACTTCAGCCACTGAGCAGAACGGAAAGCAGTGATGTGAAAACCTTCCTGGCCCCCACTGTTGTTTGGCAGTGTCTCCTACAGTTTGGAAGCCAGCTTTGGTCAAGGGATACCCATGTCCATTCCCTCCTCCATCAAATCCTGGGTGTCAGCTTCTCCAGCCCTCATTTGGGGACAGAGGCTGTCCCCTGCCATGCAGGAATGTAAAAAAAAAAACAAAAAAAAAAACAAACAAAAAAACCCCAACAAACAAACATTAGAAATGTGCTGCTCAAATCCCAAATCCCAGGAGCAGGTTAGGGATGGAAAGCACCACCAGCAGCACTTCCCACCTACCTTGATCATCACCGAATGGTTTGGGTTGGAAGGGACTGTGATGGGTTGACCATGGCTGGATGCCAGGTGCCCACCAAGCTGCTCTGTCACTCCCCTGCTTGGCAAACACCGTAATAATGAATGCCCCTCCTCCTCCTTCTCCTTTCTCTTAGATTTTATTGCTGAGCAGACGTCATATGGTATGGAATATCCCTTTGGTCAGTTTGGGTCAGCTGTCCTGGCTATGTCCTCTCCCAAGATCTTGCCCACCCACAGCCTACCGGTGAGGGGGGGAATGTTGGAGAGACAGCCTTAATGCTGTGTGAGCACTGCTCAGCGGTAGCCAAAACTCAGGTGTGTTATCAACACCTTTCTAGCTACCAATACAAAGCACAGCACTACGAGGGCTGCTATGGGGAAAATCAACTCCATCTCAGCCAGACCCAATACAGGGACCTTAAAGCTCATCTGGTTCCAACCCCCCTGCCATGGGCAGGGACACCTTCCACTAAACCAGGCTGCTCAAAGCCCCATCCAACCTGGCCTTCAACACTTCCAGGGATGGGGCATCCACAACTTCTCTGGGTAACCTGCTCCAGTGCCTCACCACCCTCACAGTAAAGAATTTCTCCCTTGTATCTAATCTAAATCTACCCTCTTCCGGTTTAAAACCATTACCCCTCATGTTGTCGCTACACTCCCTAATAAAGAGTCCCTCCCCATCTTTCCTGTAGGCCCCCTTTAAGTACTAGAAGGCTGCTATAAGGTCTGCCCGGAGCCTTCTCTTCTCCAGGCTGAACAACCCCAGCTCTCTCAGCCTGTCCTCGCAGGCGAGGTGCTCCAGAACCCTCCTCATCTTCACGCCCCTCCACATCTTGAACCACCACTCTGAGCAAGAGGTGCCTCTGTGAAAGCTGCGGCACGCCTGACGTGGGTTAGGAAACACAGGTTTTTCCCTTCGTGCAGAGAACTATGTCATGGCTTTTGGCTTTCTAAGATGCATGTTGGGGAAGCGATGGGCCTGTAAGGTCTCCCTGCCAGATCCAACTCTGCAAGCAAGATCCAACCCTGCAAGCAAGATCGAAGGCTCTCGGCCAGCGCTCGCTAGGACCCAGAGGACAGAGCCCACGGTCAGATTATTGGAAAAAGCAAATGCAAAATAAGGAAGGGGAAAAAAAGCAGCTGTACTTTTCCTACCACTTCCCCTTCTCTGCACCCAGCACCTTTTTATCCTGTTTGGGGCGGGGAACAAGGGGGTCCCTTACTGCACAACTGGAACGTCAGGACTGGCAGATAGAGTCAAAACACTCTGTATTTTTAAATCTCCATGCACAAGATGCTGGAGCCAGCCCACATGTCCAAGCACCCCGGCAGAAAGCTGCTGGAAAGCCGCTTCCCCTCCCAGTCCCACCACCCCCACCTTCCCCACCCAGGCTCCACATGTCTGCAGCTAAAGCAAAAAATAGTCCTGATGGCAAGAAATACCGGCTCCAACTCCAGGATTTATATAAAATAATCCCCTAGCTCTAAATGAGCACAGTGATACTTCAAGGAGACGATGCGTTTACTGATTTCTTGACAAATGGAAACCAGCTTGGACTGCTTAAGCGCTAATTACGAGGTGAAAGCATTGCTCTCCTGGGATGACAACGTGCAAGTGGTGATTAAGCAGTGAGGGAAGACTGACTGGCTCATAGAGCCAATACTGTTAAATTTAGCATTTTTTTCTTAATTGAAGGGTATTTAATACCTCTGTCAAGCCATGCATCTGAGAGCTCACAAGCAGCTGCCTCGTGCCCTCCCGTTCCTTCGCGTGACTGAGTTTTTTCCAACTGGGCTGCAAGCGTTCATCCGACAGGATGCAAGTGCCCAGGACTCCGACCCCTTTCAGCCGCAACTTCCACCGGCAGCAACCAAGAAAGGCAGAGCAGAAGCTGAAATGCCATCCCCAAAGCACCTCTCATATCTACACCGTGCCAAGGGAAGAGCTAGCAACAACTCCAGAGCTCAGCATGGTTAAAACACTTATTTAACGCCTCTTCTGCATCCAAACTATAACTGCATCCCCAGCTTCCATCACATACTGAAGTTAGCTCCATGGTGATTTGGGCAAATCAAATATAAGATCATAAAAACAACTACGCAGTGAGCGTGGTCTGTCTGCAGCTCCCTGTTTCTCTGCAGGGTTCCCAGGCACCGTGGTCCCAGCTGGGCTCCAGCCTGGGATCCCTGGGGATAACAGAAGCCAAGCAAAGCCAACCAGGCGGCATGGTCCTCACCAGCAGACATGCACAACAGTGCTGGGAAGAGGAGACTCTGGCATTACCTCCCTTTCGCACAACTGGAAGAGCCCAATTCCAAATAGCAAGCCCTTTTTCATCTCAGGGCTTAAGCTCCAGCCCTGTCCTAGGCGTAGCTCCCCCCTTCCCAGGCGAGAAGGTCTCCTTTCTCCCTGCCACCACGGCACAAGGCTGGTCCTCTCCACAAAGCAGCTGAACCTGCAGGAATTGATCCTGAAGGGTCCCGGGGACAAGCAGGACCACAGGGCTGGCAGCAGGGGAAGGCAGGAGCATCCCTGTCCTCCTCTCCATGACCAGGAGAGGAGCTATGATGTTGGCTCATAACTCCTCTCCACTACCACGAGTTACGATGTTGGCTCAGCTGCCAATGAAACTGCAGTTTTGAGCCTCCCATCTCCCAAGAAAACGCCTTAACCATGGAGCAACGGGCTGGACAGGGCCCTGGCCAGCAAAACACATGGTTTATGGGGCCAAAAAAAATAAGCAGGAAGAAAGCAAACATTTTAGCTCAACTCCCTGTGCCTCAGCCTGGGGAACATCACTCCAAGGACTCATCCAGAAGCTCTCTATTTTCCAGCAGTCCTTGGGGGACGCATGGAAACTCTCCCAGGAGCAGGGATGCGAACCAGGGAGCAAGAGCTTCACACTTCCCCAGCTTTCAAACAAGGAGATTTCACTCCAAAGAAGTTGCAAACAAAGTCGCGGCAGGGGAGGGGACCGGGCTGCGGCACAGGGCTCCGCGCTCAGGAGCAGACCCTGGGCACCACCGTGTTTTGCAGCATAACGTGGTTAACACTTGAATCCTACAACACTAAGCTTCTCCAACCAGCAAGCACAGAAGCAAATATTAAGCAGTCTGTAACCACAGGGGTCGAGTTTAATCCCCATTACAACATCAATGAAAGCACTTCTTTGACAGGATCCAGCAAAATTAATTCCTTCGGTAAGCTTGCTGCTTTGCCTATTCCTATATTCTGCCTATTTTGCGTTTCCCTCTTTTGTCCCTAAACTCTTCAGCGGAGCTACTGTGCTTTGAAAATGAGTTTCTTCTGATCCACTACAGAGCCAGCTGTAATTCAGCAGCAATCCCTGCCCGGTGTAGGCTGCAAAGATCCGGCAACAGCATTTTTAGGATGCTTAGAAGTTTCCTATGCCCTGAGGGGAGGGAGCCTTCCTGATCCAGGCAAGCTGCAATGCAAGGATTAGAGAACAGAAAAGACGGACAAGATAACTGCAGGAAGATCAAGGCAAGCACACTGCATACTGACAATGCTAACAGGTTTCCAGGTGGTTTATTGATTGGCCTTTTTCTTCTTAATTTCTACATAAGCTAATACACCAAGCACGGGAAAAAAAATTTAATTCTTGGCCCAACTCATAACTTTCCACGCTACCCTGGCCAAGCTGCTGAATTTCTTTGCGTTTCCTGTAAAACAGGCTGCGGACGACCATTTCATAAATGCTGGACGACAACTACAGGGCACTGTCCAAAATGCCAAACCAGGGCTCAGAAACCCAACAGATAACCCAGTGTTCAGGCTGACGCCTACAACCGCAGCGTTAGACGTGTCTAGTGCAACTTAAAGGAAAGCCCTAATTTCGATGATTAACCCAGCTTGGGATTAACTAGAGAGAGATCTACGTACTGAAATCAGTAATTACCGTATGAATATAAGGAATTATACAGAGCATATATATATATATATATAACCCCAGGCCAGCTGAGCTTTGCATCCCCTGTTACTATTACCCTCTGAAGCTTTCCTGCATGGGTCAGCAAAATTTGTACAGCAAAAAATGAGCGTGCAATAAGCCCCCTCTGATGATTGTGAAGTTTTTGAGGCAGCTGCTTCCAAAAACACCTTCTAGGCAGGGTCCAGACCCTCGGTCAGCCCCGGATTTTTGCTCACCTCCTCCTGCAGGCAGGGCCACGTCCCTCCAGCCAGCCCGAAGGCCAGCGCCAGCACCAGCACTGCCAGGACACATTCCCAGGGTGTCACAAACAGCACATGGCCAGGCGCCGCGTTTAACTGTCCGCTGGCCAAGAAGCCGTAGTGCCCGTACGTACCCAGGCCTGCTCGGCTGAGGAACGAAGCTGGGGAGGGGGGGATGCATTACAGCCAGCCAGCTCGGACGTGAAAAACCCCACGACCCCAGAGGTGGGGCTGCACTGAGGGTCTCCCT